TTGAATATTTTTATCTGAAATTTGGCTTGACAATCCCAAACTTTGAATATTTTTATTTGAAATTTGGACCCGTTAAGAAATTTTTTGAAAAAGTAGTCTTATGCCAGAATTTTAAAGTACGCTGCCAGAATTTTGAAGTATAGTGCTCGTACGCTGCCAATATTTTAAAGCACAATTGCCAGAATTTTAGAGTCAAAATTTTAAAGCAAGTTGCCAGCATTTTAAAGCACACTGCTAGAATTTTGAAGTACACTACCAGAGCTTTCAGTTTTGGCATCACTTTAAAATTTTAGAGCGATGCTATTTTACCAAAAAATTTTTTAACGGGGCTAAAATATAAATGGTGGTTCTATAAAAGTCCATCTAGCTAATTTTCCCTAACTTCAACACGAGGGGAGGATTTAGGCCCAAATTATGATGCACGTGAACCTATGATCTTTTCATCAATTTAGGTATTTTATGTACAAATTTTCTAGAATTGAGCTAATAATATTTGTTGGCCCTTATGCTCTAAAAAGGTTAAATGATACACTTGATTAAATATTGAGTTATTTACCCAAAGGAAAATGGATCAACTCCCACTAAATATTTCTCTTTTTCTACTTTTTTTTTTTTTTTTTAGTAATACACTCATGTTCTAAAAATCTTATATCAGCTTCTTTCAACACGGAAGCAATGGTTTGGCTTTAGCCTTATGTTTCTGCAAGATTATCATTATCCATCGGATATTCCTATTCCTTTGAACATTGAAACAACTCAAATGTACAAATATTCATTCTGACATAGTTGGCCGTTCAGCCAAAAATATATCACTCGGTGGCCCATAGTTTGATATTACAATTTGTATTCAAAAACAAATAACATACGCTAATCAACAAATAGCTTGTGAGAGCCCTTTTGTCCCTCCTTCACTCCATAGTCTTTTCCTTCTAACCAACAATAACAATTACTTGATTTTTGAAAATGCAATTAGTTGATTTTAGATAAAAACAAAAGAAATCGTTTCAAAGAAATGGTAAAGATAAATTTGCAGAAATATCACTATTTTGATGCACCTAACATGAAAAATCAAAGGAACTAGAACTATCCCTAAATGGCAGCCTTAGCCATTGTTGATCACCATCAACTCCTCTTTTACAATTCCATCTTTTGTTTGCTTACCAAAAATGAACTAAAGGTTGAAAACATTCTCATAGTTGAAAGTGTATATTTTATGTATATAAATTGTATAATCAGTGTAGACTTAGAAAAACTCAAATTTTATATAGATACACGGATTGTATATAAAAGATACGCTAATTATACAATTACTGTACATGAGATACACTAATTAAATATCTGATATACAAAGACCTTTAGAATCCAGAGAAGAAGAAGATAACAGCAACACCACCTGCACAATTCTACTTAACCCTTTACTTCTTCGCAGCATATGCATATAAATTCCTTCTAAAAGAATTTATGAATCCCCAGCCTTCAAAACGGCCTGCAAAATATCAATAAATTACCAATAACATTTACATTATATAAATGATGTATATAAATTGTATAACAGTATATATACACCTATTATACAACACACACATTATCAACAAACACGCCTATACACACACACACACACACATACACATATATATATATATATATATATATACACGCGCATTTGTGAGGTCGCTGCAAAGAAGTCAGAGCCGAAAAGAAAATCGAAAAGGAATGCCACCAGTGTCTTTATCTGACTGTGGTCATTGCCGATAAATATCTTGTTAATATGTACCCAAATATATAATTGGGCTTATCTTTAACTTCAAGGGGGATTTGCACAAATAGGATCAATCAGTGTCACCTTTTATATTTGAACCCCGTTAAGAAAAGATTCGAACAAATAGCCTCGTGCCAGAATTTTAAGGCACATTGCCAGAATTTTGAAGCACGTTACCAAAATTTTAAAGGATGCTGCCAGAATTTTAAAGCACGTTATTAGAATTTGAAGCATACTGTCCGAATTTTGATGATACTGTCAGAATTTTAAAACATACTACCAGTTTATCAATATGCACCTCAAATTGTAGCCTTTCTGCAACTGACTAGTTAGTGTGTCATATCTGATACTAACTAGGGGCTAATATCACTGAAGGTTATCCCACTAAGTAATTAATCTTATCATTATCACTTAAAGCTATTCTGGCTTAAACCCTAAAACATTCCTACTAAAAATCTGACATGACATAAATTTAATTAGAAAATCTAAAAATACGTGATACATCAACATAACATGGACCTTACCTAACTTAAGACACATTTTCTATTAAATTAGATTTGACCCATATTAACTTAAAATTCTTTCCTTGTCTCTTATATAATGACCTTAAAGTAAATTCATCGACCGGGCTGGGTTGGGCCCAGCCCTGGCCCTTAAGGATGAGCCCTATCTGTCTTGGTTTCGGGACAGACAAGGTTACCTTTAAGAGGTTGGGCTGGGGGTCGGGTTTTTGGGTGAAAACTTTGTATGACATAGCTAGGCCTGGCAAGTGGGCCGGTCCAGGCCCGGGACCGGCCCAGGACCGCGGGCCAGACGG